CACCTTTCTGGTATCAGTTTTCTATGGTTTTATGAGTGTGTTATGTTGAAGTTGGAAAAGAATAAGCTGTTAAACACTCTGGAGGGGAGTTCCTCTGAGATAAACTCTTGCACAAGAGCTTGTAAGCATGTTTACAGCCTCTTGTTAACAGAAAATATTAGTCTTGGCTGGTAAGGCAGGAGGGAGAATCTGTGAAAAACGCATCGTAATGGGAAAGAATGCTTCACAAAGGGTAATGTCACATGAGTTTTATCCCTCTGGTTTATAGATTCATGTGTTCATGTGTGAGCCGGTAACCAAATAAAAGCCCCTCTACCTGTTCAGGGCTGTGTTTTTTTGTCATTTAGATGAAACGACCCAAAAGTTAAAAAGGAAATCACATTAAAAGCTGCACCTTTTCAGCAAATGGAAATGTTGTAGATTGGAATTATTTCCCTCCAAATTCAGAATGGCATGTTTGGTATCTGCAGAATTTTAAAAAATGCTTCGGCAGACAAGAGCACGCTAACCCATCAGAGTGCTCAGGAGCCGTCACAGAGAGTTGTTTCACAAACACACACAACTGTGTATCTGAGAGAAAGCAGAAACCAGCATGTAAACTATCTGACCCCCTCAGGCTGGAGATTCCCACGCTCTGCAGCAGCAGCCATCATCCTGTACCCAGCTGAAAAAGTGAAATGAAAATGTTTGATTTTTCACTTGAGTAAATGTACTAATGATAGAAACAGGGGCTTCCTCTTTTCTAAGGGCTGGCACAGGGCCGTCCTGGAGATGACACCGAGATGTGTGGCCTTTCACAACTGAAAATAGACACAGGCCTTCTGACTGCTGCACCAGTGCAAGTGTGAAATGGAGAGGCAGTAAAGAGTTTCATGAGCAACCATCTCACACAAATAAACTATGTGGCATACCTGCATGCTTCTTGGAGTTTAAGGATAATTTCTGTTATCAGTTGTAATAGAATGGTGATATGATGGGTGATTTTACTATTATTCTGCATTTTTTCTTCCAAATAAGTAACCTGGAGGCTTATTTTTGGCCTGGCTGAACGTGTACTACACTACAAAAATAACTACAAAAAAAGGATCTATTGTCAGAAATGGAATATAATATTCATAGGTATGTTTTCATTAGCCTATAATCACCTGAAAATAAGAATTGTTGTGTCCAGACTCATGGAGTCCGCCATGTTTTTTGTGAGTTTCGTGGCCACCGTAGTTTCTCCTACACTGACCGTTCTCATTCCAAGGTTGTTAAATACAGACATGAGCGGTGTTCAGTTAGTTGCAATCTGCAACTTCGCTGGTAGATGCCACTAAATCCTACATACTGGTCCTTTTATAAAATCAGTTGAACCATGAAACCAGGCTGAAGCACTGTAGTAGTGCATGGCTGGTGAAGGTTCTACTTTACTACTTCTTGTTCTACTTTCTGAGCTGCCTTTACCGACGCACCAGGACATACAACGTGTCATTTACCCTCATCTAAAGGAAACAGAGGCGTGGACTAGAGTCAGATACTTGATGACTTTAGACTTGACTTGGCAGAATCAGAAAAAACGTGTAACTCAACTTGGACTTTAGCACCAATGACTTGTGACTTCACGTTTACTTGAGCCTTTTGACTTGAAAATACTTGGTACCTTCCCCAAGCCCTTGGAGTCTGTTGTTTAGAGAGTTTGCCACAAAACTATTAATTTCCCTTCATTTTCAAAGTTAATGCTGTTCATTACAAGCAAGCTAACATTTAATTCCTCAGATCCACTTAGTTTGAACCAATCCGACAGCATCCAATCAAGTTACAAATTGCAGCATGCAAAACGAGCATTGAACATTAAAGCATGTAAACCTGTTCTATCCCATTAAAAACTATGAACTTTAAAAAGAGAATAATGGAGCCTCTTCAATATATTATTACTTGCATTATGACTAGTAGGGGAAATGAACAGTCTGCTGTCAGGGAATTGTAAGTAATGGTACGAATGAGGACAGCAGTCTCTCCTTGAAGGCGTTGCACTCAGTTTACATGAAAAGTGACGGAAGTGGCTGAGTGAAGAGTGAAAAGAGAGTTTGAAAGAAAAAAAAACTCCACCAAGCTGACCGCTTACTGGCTTATGTGAGCATTGCTGTTTGAATATGTGTCAGAGCTTTATTCGCTACAATGACAGAGATTCACTGTGCTTGAATGCACTCAGATGAACAAACTCTTTTCCCTCCATCACCTCTGTCATGCTCTTGTGGACTTTGACCCAACAGTCATTTTCATTTAAACAATTTCCATATTGTGGCTCTCTATAAGTGACTCCTGATGTAACAATTCAACCCACAGCTCTGATTGTATCTTGGTCATCGAAACACCTGCTTTCTAGGAGGGGAAAAAATCCGCTGGCTCACAGGAATCTGTGTGTTTTATGTCTTATCTTCGGAATAAAAAAAATTACATCTGCAAATGATGATAGTAATCCTCCTCACATGGAATAAAAAAAAATCTTTTTCCCACCATTCAGCCTGAAAGAACTTGAACAGATTCTTCTCCTCATCCCTGCTGAAGTCTCCTTCTTTCTTTCTTTCACCCCTCCGTCCCTCCCACTCATTGTGGTTCGCCCCATGCCCCAACGCTGCCTCCGTTCTATATCGAGCCTCTGTAATTATGTCAATGTAATGTTTGTATTTATACACAGTGCTCTGGTAGCTGCTATGTCCCAGCTGGGAAGCATTGGTTCAACGCTGCAGGCGGGACCCTCTGGACCGAACCAGCTTCTGACCACCGTCACCTTCAGGATTAAAAGTGAAATATTTCAGATAGATTGCCCCTGGTATCTTTGGAATTTTTAATAAAATTACCTAATCTTCGGAACCAGGCTAGGAGAGTGGAATTTTTTGCTGTACAAAATCAGACTTCTTTCTGTGAATTACTGCAGAATTTTATTTAAGTTTAATATTAGCCTTATTTGACAGGAAAGCTCAAGTAAGGCCTCAGCCTTGGTACATGGGGTACCAGATGAGTTACCAGGGTGCCCCTTTGTTGCAGAAAGTTACCTCCAATGGCATGTAAAAGTTTTTCAAATAAAACAATTTGAGAGGGAAGAATAATTTTTAGTTGATCTGGACAGAAGCTGTAAATATGTATGATCTGAAAAGAGGTGCTATGTTTTAAGGCAGTTTTACCCAAACTTGTTCCTCTTTATAGCAAACCAAGCTCTACCCACAACCCCTTGGGGCAGTTCAACCAGTATTATATTCTCTTCTCTTATTCTGCCGCCATCACCAAGTGCTTGCTCATGGTTCAAGAGGTTTATTATCATATGTACAGTATAAACACAAGGCTAGTACGCACAATGAAAATCTTACTTTGCCTGACTCCCTGACGTAACACAAGTAGAACAGTAAGAACATAATAATTAAAAAAATATATATAAAAATGTTCAATATAAAACATTTTCAATATAAAATAAAACTAAATATAACATATAACTTACAACTTAAAACATAAAGTGCATACTGTCGCACACACGAGCTGTGCGTGTTAGATGCACAGTAACAAAAATAAACAAAGTTACGTCGGGAGAGCGAAGCAAACACGTCGACCACGGTGGGTGCCATTTTTAAATATTCATAGTGGGAACTGTTGGGTCTCTTCAAATAGAGCAGGTCTAGACCATACTCCTTATAAAATTATTTACAAAGTGTCCTGAGATAACATTTGTTATGGATTGGCACTATACAAATAAACTGAATGGAATTGAATTGAATTTTCAGACTTTTTAACAGTTTTTAGTCTTACAAAAGTACAAATAGCTACTATTTGAAATGTGAAATGTAGGAAACAAACATTATTTGTACATTTATTGTGTCTTCTTTTTTAACGGTGTGGTTTATCATCTTGTGAACCTTCAGAATTCCTTGGGTGTCTGAACCTCCAAGTTGGAAATTGTGAACTGTGTGTGTGTATGTATGTAAATATCAAACCAGGGTTTTTTTTGTTAACCCTCTTTTCAATTTGATAATCACACTCAGGACTCATGTTGTCATTTAGTTTAATATGTACAATAAAATAAACTATTTACATTATATAAAAAAGATTCTATTTACAAGGCAGTACATTTCTTCAAGACACAAACAAACAAGGCTTTTTTGCCAAAGACTGAGTAGCCCTTTGTCAATCAGGTGGTGTTGAGATGGCATGCACTTCTGTGAGACTAAGACCCTGACTTCAAACGCTAGTAGATAACAGACTCACAGACACATTCTATTCAAGCTTCAGGGAGGACAGAATGAAAGGCAGTTTTAGAACAAAACATTGTCTCAAAGCTTATTTCACGTGCTGTTTACACTTACAAAATAACACACAGAATAAATCTTTGATTATCTTCTAGCCAGTGAAGAATATGGCACTCGTAATGTGTGTAATAATGCATTATAGAAGGCACTAATGGTGAAAATACAAAACAAAAATCATCACTGTTTGAGGGATTGTCTGTTTCCAGTTGCTTCAGTGGCATGTGCCTGACATGTTGAGTGGAATGTTTCTTTAATCTGTTGCCTAACAGCACTCCATACAAAAAGTAGTACCAGCTACATAGTTAAAAAAATTCAGTCTGAACAGAGTTGCTCTGTTTCTGTCCTATCTGGCTGTATTTCCCAGTTGTTTTATGATTTGTTTCTTTCAAAAATAACATTTAAATAGTTTTTTTTTTTTTTTTTTTTTTTACAAAATATAATTTGAGGGCTTCCCATGATGCTCCCTTTGCCCCAATGAAAAATCACTATAATGCTCCTATAATGAACCTATAGGTATTACAGTGTAGTCAGTAGTGGCATCGTCATACTGTATGGCAGTTATATGCTGTTATGGTAACCATATAGTTTATATTCCTATAGGAACTGCGTCTATATGTTTGCATAGCATTCTTCTTATAGCTGGTCACAGGATTATTCACTTCTCTTTATCGGTGCATAGAAGTCCTTGTCTCCTCCAGGTCTGTCCCTCAGGACCCTCTCACATGTGCCTTTTCATGCTGCAGGGCCAGGTGATCCGAGCGAGAGAAGGCCGCTCGCACAGGTGACACTGGACGGCCTGTGTCCAGTATGCTTCCGGAAGTGACGTGTGAGCTCATCGGAACGAGCGAACTTCCAACCGCAACCCTCCCAGCTACAGTGGTAGGGCTTCTCTCCCTGTTACAACACAAACAGCCGTGAGTGACGTCATGGTTTGGCGGGTAGGTATGACGGATAGATGGATGACGTTTAAACCGTGCAGTCTTACCTGTGTGTGTCCTGAGATGGGCATTTAGTGGAGCTTCTTGGTGTAAGTCTTCCCACAGGCCGGTGAAAGTGGCAGGTGTGCGTCGCAGTCCGTTTCCTCGGCCAGGACCGGCGACCCCTCTTCGGCTGGTGTCCATCATTTCCAGCGGGGAGGACGGCGGGGTGAGCAGGACGCGCTGGCCGGCCACTGTCTGCTGCTGCATGCCCATGGCCGCGTCCTCCTCGAACATAACGGGGAACTGGTGGTGATGGTGCGCCCCGGGAAACGAGAGCTGCATGCCGTTGTGCGGGTGAGGGAATCCCCCTGGTGCGCAGCGGTGGTGGGGGTGAAAGCTCTGCGGGAACGTCAGTGAGGTGGAGTTGCATATCTGGGGCTGGTGGCACTCGGAGCTCCTCAGGTCATCCGGGCTAAGTGGCGGCGTCATGCTACCCACGGCGGCCTGCGGGGAGTTGGCCAGCCGAGGCTGCTGCTCATATGACATCATGCAGGAGACGTTCCCCTCGTGCTTGATTTTGGTGCAGCTCTGAGGCACCAGACCCATAACAGGTCCGTACGTGTCCATAGAGACTGGCTCCACTTTAATGCTCGGAAGCTCAGGGAATAAATCCTGATTGGTCTGGAAAGGCGTGGAGCTGATCAGGAATCTGCCCTGGATGCCTGGGCTGTTCCCAGGGAGGAAGCTGGTATCCACGTCGGAGCGAAGGAGCTCCGCCATCAGGCTGTTGTAGGGCGGCGGTGGGCTGTTCATGTCTGGGACAGAGGTGTAATTGGCCGGCTGCTGGGGCATCGCGGTGTGCTGCTGCTGGTGGTGGTGATACACGGACGCCCCGGTCTCCTGGAGCCGATAGGATTCTGCCACCGTCCCGGACACCGGCGCACTGTCAGAGACGGCGGTGTTAGCCAGAATAAACTCAAGATCCAAGAACTTATCCAGGTCTTCTTCGTCTTTCCTGCCCAGGCAGGTGCTGTCCATGTTGGACACAACGCTGTTTATGTCCTTCCACCTCTGGAGCGAGAATGAGACAGCAAAGTTATAGTTTTGTTTAGTTTAAGTTTTTGTGTTACAGCACTGCAGTTAACTCTGATAAAATATCTCGAAAACAGCACAGAAAGTACACGGAGGACTGAATACCAAGAAACTGTGTCAACTGTAAACATTATTTAACCACATTCGCAGTGAATCTAATTAGAGAAATTCCAAAGATTAAAAAGTTTCAGTGAGCAGAAAACACCGTGTAAGCTGAGTTCTGATATGACAGACTGATACAAAACAGGTATTCAGTTATGTTAAATACCCCGAACCAGTGCTCAAAACAAGTGTAAATATACAAACAGCGAAACTTACATATTCCCAACATTTCTCCTTTTGGTTGGCAAACGTCGAGATTGATGGTAAAATGGTCCCACTCAAGGCCATTTCCATGCGTTATTTAAAAAAGTAGAAAAACACTTTCTCTGTTTTTAAGGAAATCACCAGAGTACGCAGAGTCTCCAGAAAAAGTTACAGAGCGCGTTGCTTCTTCTGCCGTCCGATGAGCTGCTGCTCCTCACTCATATGCAGCTGTGTGCCTGGAAGGAGCTGCTTTTCTTATAAATATTGCGTCGCTGCACGGATCAGACCAATGCGAGGCTGGGGGAAGGAAGCGCGTCCAGGATGGGGACGCTGCGCACCGGCCAGCCCCCTAAATTTAGCCCCGGTATAAAAGTCCGAGTTTCCCTGCTACTCAGAGAGAGAGAGGTGGTGAGAGAGTCAGAGGAGGTACTGGTGCAGAATGCTCGCTCTGCTCAGCTGCGGGCAGCTACTTAACCATCTCAGGGAAGAACCCGCCCATCGTCAAACCTGGCCAACAACTGGCAGGGCAGAGGCAGCGACCGCCCCTACACCAGCACCACTAAAAAACATAATAAGCAATTAACACGTTGTTGGAAAAAGAGCAACGAAACCGATACTAAAAGGGCACACAGGAAGTGCACAAAGAGGAAGGGAGATGCTGCAGGTACCCTCTGCCCTGCGCAATACGCATTCGGGTACGGTGTGTTTACGCACACAGTAGTGCCGCTTTTTTCCGTGTTTGCTTTGTCCATTTATTTATTTACTGTGTAGATACAAACAATTCTTGCTGGTTAATAAAAATGCCGATCCTTCAATATGAACATCTCTCTGTCTCTGTGAAAACATGAGCAGACAGAGAGCCTGTGCGGATCACACAGTCCCTTCACAAAAACGCACTCGTCCATTCCTCTCCGGCTGTCATGCCCGCAGAAGCGCGGGGGGTGGAGGTGGGGGATTTGTTTCTGCTGCAGGCTTCAGCCACCAGGCGCCAGCGGCAGCACAGCTATCCTCCTTCTCCCTCTCCCTTTCCCTTTCTGTGCTCCGTGAAGCCTCATTCAGGTGATAATAAGGCGGTTCTCCGATACCCCCAGTGGTATCGTCAGAGAGACTGGCAAAACTGGGATTGCTTTATAATTTCTTCTGATCTGATAAAAAAAAAAAGAGAGACTGTGCTTTTGAAGTAAAAGTAGTGATACCACAATGTAAAGCTGTTCCAGTACAAGTTAAACATGTTAGATAAGCAACGGAATTAAGAAAATATACTTGAAGTATCAAAAGCAAATTTACTGCACTATGTTTACACTGTGATTATTATTACTGATACATTAACAGCATTACATCTCAGTGGTGCTCATTTGAACTACTTAAACTGATTTTAAATCATTAATCTGCACAACAATAACTGTCAACTGTCAACAGCTGTCAAATAAAGAGTAAGAGGTACAAAATATAGGAAGAGCATCACAAGAGTACTTCAAGGTTATTTTATGTTCTGTATAAGGACCAGGGGCGGATCTAGAGAAAGTACTTCTAATTCAGTTCAATTCATATTTTATTTGTTATAGCGCCAATTCATAACAAGTTACCTCAGGACACTTTTCAAATAGATCAGGTCTGGACCAAACTCCTTATAACATTATTAATATACATTAAGACCCAACAGTACCACCACGAGCAAGCACTTTGCGACGGTGGCAAGGAAAAACT